TTCTTTATTCATCCTGATCATTTATGTATACATTTGTCTATATCTATCTCGATTCGTTTTGGCTGTTACAAACAACCGTTATGTGAACAAAATTAATATAAGTGCGCTCGGGTATAAAAAGCGTACTATATAAAAAAAACAATGCGCATATAAAAGAGCACCAACTTAACTTGTAATACATTTATGTACACAAATTTTATATTTAGTATAGAAATATTCAATTCAAATACGCCCATATTAAAAGTAAGCGATTTGCAATTGCCGATTGCTTTTTCATAATTGATTTAAAAAAAAATATTTAAATTCCATGCTGGTTGTAATGGGAATTGAACACTGACCCTCTGGAAATAAGCAAATTGTGGCAAGCATCTTCGCGCACTCAGCTACAGCCAGACATGTAAATGTGCATTTAAATGTTGAGTTTGAATCAACACCACGCGTGCGTGTTATGAAGGTATTATTTTTAAATACGAACATTTTTATCCGATAATCAAATAGAAAAACTTCAGGTTTACTATGCGCTATTTCCCTCAGTGAATTCAAAACATTTTTCTGAATATTACAACGCGTTTTTTCTCTTAGTGTAGTGATTTTTGAACTTTTATTCAAATTTGTGCAATGAAATCAAAAACCGGGACACTAAAACGAAACCCGGGACATTTTACAGTTGGACCGGGACACCGGGACAAATAGTCTAAAACCGGGACATGTTCGGGAAAACCAGGAAATCTGGCAGCCCTATTACTAGAGATATTTAAACAACTAAGGTGGGCTTAGAGTGTAGACAGGATGACTAAACGGACTAGGAAGTTACTGATGACTAGACGGACGGGCCAATGTTAGGCTAAGGGGATGCTGCTAAATTTGAGGAGTCGCAGCAGCATCCAAGGCTGCGAGGAGAATGTACGTAGAAGTGGGTGGGACGACTCCACCTTACAGGACCGGTTCTGTTTTCTTCACTTTCACTATACTTTAGTTTTTCTTCACTCCCACTTTGCATACAATTTCGACTTCTCTATTCATTCTGAGCATTTATGTATACATTTGTCTATATCTATCTCGATTCGTTTTGGCTGTTATAAACAACCGTTATGTGAACAAAATTAATATACCCTTGTGCACAAGTGCGCTCGGGTATAAAAATCAAATCAGCTGCTCTACTGATACTACCTGTATTACAAAACATTGCAAAGAAGTACATTTGACCGTACTTCGAAGTATGAAGTACAATGCCTCAAAAAGAAGTACTGTACTTCCGAAAGAAGTACGGTTGGTCATATTATTTATGGGTATTGTTAAATAAACTGTTGGTTTTTAAGTAAAAACTCAATTCTAAATTTAACAATTTTTGGCTTTTCATGCGAATTGCTAAAAATCCTAAAATATATATGTCACCAATAAAAAAAATCTCGACGTGCAAGAAAAAAGCCAAGTATGTATTTAAATTTATTTAACTCGCAGGTCTGTGTAATCTAGAAATCAGGGTTGGAGACGGAAAAGTCATATTTTTAATACAGGAATATTTTATAACTTGGATTTCAGAAGAGATATTTTGTATTCTTAATTACGTATTGTAACAATATTGCGAAATTTATAAAAGGCAGCAGTCGTCCGGATATCCGAATCCGGCTCTTATTTTTTACATGGTATCCGGCATCCGGTTATCCGGCAAAATCTCTATCCGGCACATCCTAATCCAATGTCAAAGTTACTGGTGGTAGTTAGGCGCACAATTTCAACTGCTGCATAGGGGTTTCCAGCTGTTAGTTACCTGAAATTAAATGATATATAGTATGCATTTTAAAACAACTTATTTTTTTGTTTTAATTGATGTAATTTTAATACTATAAAATCTTATTTTATTTTAAATTTTCATGCAATTTTTATATTCTACTTATCCATAATAGTATAGATAAAATTGATTATGGCTGCGTTTCTTTATACATTCCGGATAATCGCATTTCACAGCCGAAATAAACAGAATGCGTTTGAAATATACGTCAACATATCAGCAGGAACGTTCTAAAAAATTAATAAACAAAAAAGTTTATTCCAAACGTTCAGAATGAATAAAGAAATGCAGCCTATATGAAAAATGTTCGTAACGATTTATTTCTCAAAGTACTAAACCGATTTTAATGATTATATTTTTAAAGCGAAGCATTTGTGAAAAAAAACTGAGTGGTATACGTATTTTTTTATTCTTTGAAAATAAACGCCCTTTTTTTTGTTACAAAAAATACAAGGACGTAGACGTAGACTATTTCGTCGTAAAACTCAGCGCATAACTACGCAGTTCGCGTTCTCTGTCTAGTTAAAAATTTCGTATTTTATATTATTCTCATCGCCCAACATATGTGCGAATGTTGATCTGCTTGTGCACTACTGTGGTTTGCTGTTACCGAGATAGAGACTAATAAAATCGCAAAATTGTGTCGAGTACAATATCATAAGGCCGTGAGTTTGTGGGCAAAAAGTGGAGCGGACGCAGCATAAAATACAATGTGCTAAGTGTAATGACCTGTTTCACCTAGCTTGTGTAAATATGAACCCAACTGATGTTGAGTTCTTGCTCAATTCTGATAAGCCATTTCTCTGCAATGGTTGTGCTGGGGCTCGGCGTGATTCCATGCGTTTGCCACCACCTATCGTCGTTTCTGAGGACAGTGTAGTTGGTGCTTTGTCTAACAACACGGCTACCTCAAGTAGTCAAATAGGCTCACAACGCAACAATAATGCAACTGCTCATCATCAGTCTAAAATGCCATTTTCATCCTCTCCGTCTCTACAAATGTGTAAAGGTTCAGGCAGCAAGTTCAATCAAATTGACGCTGAGCAATATCACTACAATCATTGTTCGATGAGATTATTGCCCTTAGAGCTGAGAATATTCGTGTTTTTGCTTTAGTCAATGCATTAGCGGATGACAATAAACGGCTTATTAGCAAAACGGAATCTCTTGAAGCCGTGTTACACTCATTGCAGAGTAAACTGTGCACCGATGGGCTTGCGGAGTCCATCAATTTGCTCACCAGTGTTGCCGCGCCGTCTCAAGAAAATGTATCCTTGAGCAAGCCAAAAATGTATCCAAATGTATCCAATTTTCTTTTTTCACATATACATCTCATAATTTGTAAGAAAATCAAACATTTTCATAAAAAATACATAATTTAACCCATCCTAAGGACTAGGAATACATGTGCATAAAATCAAACATTTGTAATTTCAATTTATAAAGTAAATTTTTTTTGCATAAGTATTTTGCAAAGTAAATATGAGTAGTCCACTTGCAAACAGCGTTATGTGATTTTATAATAGAAAGCCGTAAATTTAAAAAAACGACTACGACAGCAAGTATCATTTAAATTGAATCTTTTCCATTATTACCTGAAAATTTGGATAAATAAGAGCCTTTTAAAATTGTAACATAACATAACATGACATAAGATAACATAAACAGTCTATACGACCTAAAGCAGTTTTCTAAGTTCATCAGAAGATGTATAGTTTTGAAAGTTTATAAATAAGTGTGATAGCGACTTTTGGAAGAAGAGTTAACATTTGATGTTATTTTTTTCAGAATATAAAAAAGATTTTGCACTGTGTTGACATGAAACTACTATAAGTACTGGTACGTAATCCTCCAAAAACTAAAAATCGAAAAAATTTTACATAGCGCACTTTGTACACTCTAAAAAGAGCATGTAAAACTACTACTGAAAAGTGTCTATTTTTCAACAAGAATCTGTATAAATATACGTATAGGATGTTCAGTTTTTGATTTTGAACTTGAGATCTTTAAAATATACACGTAAATACACATATATAGAATGTTTAAAATTGCAAAAATTTTCAAACTACAAATACATTTCCTACTTATAATAAACATTACTTTATTTTAAACATTTTATGTGTAATTTTGCTCTTGTGACAAATTCGTTATGTAAAAGTAAACAGGCAATGATTAATTTTATTACACGGCGTGCAAATTTGCACACATTAAAAGAGGAAACTGGTTACCTCTCTCTATATGCGCAAATAAAAAATTTTTTTTTAGAGTGTATTTAAAGTCTTTTCAGTAAAATTCATAAAAGTTTCCTTAAATAAATGAAATTTAGTTTTTTAAACTACATTGAAATCTTTCTTTTTAAATTAACAAATGAAAATATGTGATATGAAAGATATTACTACAGAAAGAGTATAATTTACTTTATATATATCGTCGTTTAAAGTGCAAAACCGCGTATCGTCATTCTGCAAAACCGCGTAACTGACATTTTCTGCCAAAAATTGGCAAGCTCTTGGCTCAATCCTTATCCATTCGTCCTGAAATATACTAGCCAGAAATGCGATTGCTTAATAAACAAGAGAACCATTTTGAAATATAAGTGTTTTTACTCTCTAGAAAATAATTTATGCAACGTCACATACGCGGTTTTGCATTATCTTGATACGCGGTTTTGCATTTTGTTGATACGCGGTTTTGTACTTTAAACGACGATATGTATATTAAGATCTTGCTTAAAGCATCCTTTTAAGCTAATTAAAGCAATTGCGCTTATACCTATTTTGGTGAGATCTCTTCATATGTTCATTGCTTCGTTCACAAAAAATAAAATCCTTTAATTTCAGGCTTAAGTAGCGATTCTTTATACGTTTAGAAAACGTAATGCCTTCTACCATCTTTAATGAAAATCGATTTTTGAACGAAAAAAACTTTATAGGAAATATAAAATTTTGGCCTATTTAAAAAAGTATCCACATTTATACGGACCGGAAAAAATAAGTATCCCGCAAAAATTCGTCTAAAACGGCATCCCTGGTAGAGTTGTCAAACTATCGATGGCACTATCGATAGTATCGATAGTTTCAATTTTTTTAGACTATCAATACTCATTGATAGTTTTTTCTTATACTATCAAAAATATCGATAGTTTAGTAGGACTATCGATCATCTCTCCCAATTTTTTTGAAATTATACATACATATGTTAATCGTAAATCCTATTTTGTTTGTATAACTTGTGTTTGTTTTTGAACTTTCTAAAAAGAGAAGTATTCTGGCTAAGCAGTTACTTAATTTTGAATGATTATAACTTTTATAAGATAATATTTATTTCACTATGATCCTGTAAAAACAAAGCACCCTAACTGATTTAGCGCTATCGATAGCGCTATCGATAGTGCTATCGATAGTTATGTTTTTTTTTGAGACTATCGTGAATATTGATAGTTTTCTGAAAACTATACTATCGATGGTGTGACTATCGATAGTTTGACACCTCTAATCCCTGGTGCTCACTACCGAAGTTAAAAATCTTCGCTCGAATTGCAGAATCGTCGCGAGAGAGTCTTCCACTCACTGTGCTAACTCTGCTATTGCTAATACCCCAGCTTCAACGACTGCTACGCATCATACTTCGTCAGGTACATGTATGTCTGAGTGTAACATAGACGTTGCGTGGGAGAAGTCTCATCCTTCCGCTCGCAGTATTAACTCTGCTAACTCTGCTATGGTTAATCCTCCAGCTGTAACAACTGCTACGGATCACACGCCGACAACTACTTGTATGCCTCCTACGTAGCTGCTGCCTCTGCTGACACATACGCTGCTGCTGCCGCTGCCGCCGCCGCCGCTACTGAAATAAACAGTGCTGATGGTTCGCTATCAACTGGACAAGCACAGTGGGTCACCATGCAAACGAAGAGGAACAAAAAGAAGAAGGAAAAAAATGTACGCAACGTGGTTATTGGGTGCAGTATCAGTACTGAATTAGATCGCGGATACGAAAATATGGCTGCACTTGTCTTCTTTTAAACCAAATGTATCTGAGGAAAATATAATTTCTTTAGTGGAAAAAAATACTGGAATCGACAGAATTAGCATTTCTTGTTTTAAGCTCATCAAAAAGGATGTTGACATTGGCTCGCTTACGAAGATCAATTTTAAACTGGGTGTTATTGCATCTCAATATGACAAGGTTTTGGACCCAGCGCTCAAGAGTTTGAAGATACACTTTCAAAATATGGGTGGCTTAAGTACAACTCCGGACGACATTATCATCCGTAGCTCAGTTTCGGATTTTGACTAATCTTCGTGGAGTCTTGGTTAAATGCAAACTTTTTTGATAGTGAATATTTCAATCCGACCTTATTGAACGTTTTTCGGAAAGATCGGGATGTTAATAGTACAGGATTTTCTCGCGGTGGTGGTGTTCTTATCGCAGTTCGGCGTTATCTTCATACATTTGTTGTCCCGCTCAGCGACAGTGACCCAATATTAGAACAAATTTGTGTTTGCATCAAAGGTACTTCTGAATTTGACTCTTTATATATATTGGCTTCGTACATCCCGCCTGGTAGTAATTTTAGTCTTTATAAAACTCATACAGACAACATTTCATATTTGGTTCACAATGTGTTAACAACTAATCACACTGGACCACAAATTTCAACTTTTTCTCTTTACCAGAAACAACGTTATGAAATTCTTATGTAAAATCACCCCCTGATTCCGAAAATCAAGGTTATTTTTAATTCTATGGTACCGTTTTTGAGATATTTGCAATTTACCGTTTTTGCAACTTTACCACTTTATCATATATATCTCAAGAACGAATTAAGCAATTCCAAAACGGTTTGAAGCTTTTAAAAGGTAATAAAATTTTCTATAAACTGTGCATACAACACTTTTTGCTAGGCCCTGTAGATTCAAAGATAACGAACAATCATTACCGATTTTTTCAATTTTTTTTGTAAAAATATAAAAAAA